TTTTTGTTCTTAGCACGCCGCCCCCTTGGCTCCGTAGTTGCCAAGTTTGCATTCGGCACATGCCCATTTTGGGGTTGGTAACAGCCGCAAGCGCCTCAGCCCCAATTTACCCAAGTATGTACAAACAGATCCTAGGATGCCCACGCCTCGAATGAAGATGTGTTTTGGGGGAGGCAAGAACCATTGTCCAAGTTTTTGTTTTGAGTGTTTTATGAGCTTCTTTTTTTGGGGGGGGTCGTGATCAAACAATTAAGACAAGCCCAAAATGAACGGCACGGAATGCCCGCGAAGCGGAGCCTCTCGATACTTTCGCCAATGACGCTGCCCTGGCGGCCGTTCCACTCTGGCCTGGCGGCGGATCTGTGCTCCGATGCCCCAGCTACCCAGATTGCGATACTCCCCTGCAAACCAACTTGCAATCCTGTGGACTGCGTGCATGAAGCTCCCTCATATCAATCAAGCACCCCTGAACATGCACTCATGAGTCCGAACTTCAGTTGTGTAGATATCTGCTTGTATATACTTGCAAGTCGCTGACCTTCCCGAACTGTCCGACCAGCTGCGCAGATTGATACAAAGACCAATGACACATGTGTACATATATATATATGCATATAGTAGAGTGAGGGAGAGAGAGAGAGAGAGAAGAAAAAAAAAAGAAAGAGAGCTGCACGATGCCAAATATGTGTATGTATACATATATATAATATGTTAATATATTAAAGGATGGTGTAAGCACGGCTTCCCAGAGAATTGAGGTGCAACCCTGGGGGCACCCCCTCAGGTGCGCGCGACATCGCCCGTTGAGCCGTTGATCATGCGGACTCAATATGACAAAAATGATAAAAATCAGCATCTTTAGTAGGTGGATAAGCAAACACGATTTGCACAGAGCGCAAAATGGGACTAGAGACCCAGCATGTCCCACGGAAACTGAACAGAGTATGTGTCCCCCATGTTCATAACTCCTGCGCCTATTGTGTGCCTAATGGTGATGCTTGTAAGGAGTGTATGCTAAACCATTTGATTGCATCAGCATCTAGAAGTCTATGAGGCTGTGGGCCATGCTACGTATTGTTCCGTCTACAGTCGGCAATTTTGGAGTCAAAAATGCCGAGATTCACAGGGCCAAGCTCGGGCTCAAATAATTGGACCTGCACAATGCCTGGGTTAACAACTCCAAAACCCGGAAACATGTACCCGTGATTTTTACTAGGAAGGTGTCTCATTTGGAAGGGAGTTCTTCGCTTTCGGGGCAACAGCCTGGAAGCAATCCAGGGTCAAAAGACGTCAGAGGGACCAAAAGAAAATCTTCGCCTTGTGCGACTCCCCCAAAAGAACTTGAGCCCCCGCCCTGCGATGTCCATCCGCACCAAAGGCCTCGACTGCAGGTTTCGGGCCGTGACGCCCACGCCCACCTGAGAGGCCCAAAGCGCAAGGCCGGTAGCGATGCCTTGGGTCCAACTTGGCTCAAATCAAATCGCAAAAAGGGAGGCGGAAAGGAAACCGGGAGCACAAACACGTCTTCAGGTGCGAATCCAATTGTTTTTGCCACAAGAAGCCCTTCGTGAATTCCGGGCTTGGGTTGGCTGTCAAAGGGGGGGGCTCATTCTTGCCAACAAGGAAAAAACCTTTTACGAAGATTTCCAAAATGTTCCCCATCTCGAGTCTTGCTAAGGAAATACTGGACATATACTGAATGACTACTCAAACGAATTTAAAAACCATATTAATCGAATTTAAGACCAATGTTAGCCCAGCCCGAATCCGAAAAAGGATATTGACTTCGGCTTGCTTGGGAATTGCTAGATTGAACCAGCTGGGAGTCTCGTAGGTTTGCGAGCCTCCCCACGTAGCACACGATATCCGATCTGCGGCTTTGAGCCGCAAGAATTCGCGAAAATGGCTGGCCAAGGTGAATATGTGCTCGCCAGACAACCGCAATTCGGGGAAACAATTCCACCCCCCTAGATTGAACAAAGCAAAAGGGGAATGCATAGTTGTGGGACCACAGAAAGCGACAACTGTCCGACTGTCTTCAAAGTGCAGAAATACCTAAGACACCACCAGAAGCCAAGAGGGGCTAAGACCGGGGGTGCCGGGGGTGCCATGGCCTCCAGGTCCTCCTCCTCCAGCGCAACGGCGCAAAGGTGCAGCCTGAGGTCGAGCGCGTCGAGCGTACATCCTCCCTGGCATGCTCAGCGAGGAGGGCTGAGAAAACAAACAAAATTTGCATAGGTCTAGCAACGCGATACACGTGAAGAAATCAGCAAAAGGACAGAATGTTCGCACTCGTAGCAGCCGCTCTTTGGCTGCGCTTCGGCTCATGTCCAAATGATCGAATCTACTAAATTCCATGGCCTCTAAACGATTTGCGCCTTGCCTGTTTGCATTTCACCCTATGACAATAGCTCCACCACTCCATCCTACAAAAGCTGAACAAAATCAGGGCGCAAACTTTCTACAGCGACCTTTAGGCGGGCAGCTTGAGAAGAACTTCTGTCCATGACACAGTCTCAATTACTATCCATCCAGCAACAACCACAACCAAAACTATTTGACTGACCTTGCTGCGGAGCCGGGACTGTTAGGGACACATACTATGTTTCTTATCAACAACGAAGTCCGAATTCTCCGACACAGGGTGGCTTGAACTCAAAGGCCGCGAGCAAAACAAGCCCTCCAGGTATTTCTGAAGGTTGGTCAAGCCACTTGAGCACAACGGACAGCTCGAAGCGACCATCGGAATGGTCGAAGAGGAATTCTCGCTCCCACGCTCCATGGTGCTGCCTGCTGATTCAACACAGCTGGTCTATGGCAGCCCTTTAAGGCAACTCAACCAATACACTGATCAGTTGGTTACAATGCTGCTTTTTGACAAGATCGCCTGATAGGCTGAACTGGCTGAACAGAGTGCTCTTCAATGGGTAGTTTTTTGCTGATGCTGATCTTCACTCCATTTGGCAGCTCTTCCCACTCAACGTCATCCTGCACAACACCAGGACATTCAACGCGGATGAAGCGCTTGACACCCGTGTTGATGGCTCTGTCAAAGACATTCAACATGGGATCAAAGCTCAGCGATGGTCTCTCCCAACGGCGAGATGACACCACGCGTCTTGGTGGAAAGGCATGTTTTTTCCTGTGGGAGACGTACACAATTCTTGCCCAAAGTAGCATGAGCATGGCTTCGCGCGTCTGCGTCTGGCTTTTGTGGCACAAACTTCACAAGCGGCATGGGCCCAGGGCTGATCGACGTTTCCGGCTCAGTGGTTTCAACGTTGACAAACTTGGGCAAAAGCCGTGATAGCTCAGCACACAGCAAGTCGGCAAGAACGATGTTGGAGCCAAGCTTGTTGCCATGTTACAAACTCTGAAGCACGTAGTCCCAATTCCTGGAATTGAATTTATCGCCCGCTGCAGAAACTCATAACAAACCCCAACATGATGCACTGGAGGAGCTCCTTCTCCAGAATCGGCTGTAAAGATCAGCTGCCCAAATGTGATGGTCACCTGCCGTCGGAAGAGCTGCTTCGCTTCCTCCACATCTGTGGTAGTCCGCAAGTTGTGCACCATAATCAGCTCCTTGTGCTGCTTGCATTGAATGCACCTTTGGTGAAGCATGGCCACGTACTCTGCTCAAACCAGGTGAGATCATTCACAACGAACACCATATGGTGGGCAACACGGGAGATCATTTCAAACATAAGGGATTTCCGATGTCTGGCCATCGTGAATTGCATCCACAGCTTGCGCACGATAGGATACTGTGGACTGAACTTCAGCAGAATCCAGCACCAGCATGTGTCTCTCTTTGATCCCAGGCAAGCTCAATCCTTTGTTCGTGCAAAGCTTTCCTGAAGGCAGATTCACCCCAAACACCTTGTTGGTCAGCCAAGTCTTGCCCTTGTCGAACAGCCCAACCACGGCAACGATTCGATACCTGCTTTCCTTGGCGACCTCAAGCTGCGACTTGGCTTTCTGCATGAATTTGATCTCGCCGCTTGACAGCAACTCTGCGAGAGAATCGAACGCCAAGACCGCAACATAGGGTGTGGTCTCGACTGCCTTGTCATGGTCTCGTTGCCATCGACGTTCTCATCGCTTCTGATGCAAGCGCCAAAGTTGTTGAAGGGAAGAGATTGCTGTAACCAGCCTCTCACGTTTGCTTTTTCCAAGCTCTTCCGTTGCAAGCGCTGATGCGTCAGCACTCGCCGCCACTTGCTCTGAATCTTGGAAGCTGCCGAAGTCATTGTGTGTGTGCCCTTTCCTTTGCTTGCTGGTCCTTCTCTCCACAAGGGAGAGTGAGCGCTTCACTTCGTATTGCAGGCAAATTGCTTGTTCTTGGTTGCATGAGTTCAATGGCATCTCCGTGTAAACGGACCTCCACGGATATCTTGCAGGGCCATCCCGCGGCATGCAGTTGAATCGAAGGAAGCACTGCTTGGGTCGTGCAATTGAACCAAACTGGCACTGGAATGGCAAACCTAGCGGCATGAAAGGGAAGCGGGCAGTCCAAAATGACAATTCCAAAACACAAGGCAACGTACTCATCAAACGCACAGTTGTGTTGACAACGGCTAACACCGAAGTGTAAGCACCGTCCATATGCAAAAGAAGCAGGTAGGGATTTGGAACCGTGCTTCTGACACAGCCATAGCTGGGGGAAACTCACTTTCTGTTCATGGCGGCAATGATCATGAAAATCGACCAGTGCCAGCAGTCATTCTGCTGTTGTTGTGGCTCCCATTGTTGTTGCGCCGACTCCTTTACATTGCCACAAGGCTGAATTCGGATCGCCTGTCCCAACAAGAATTACCCGAGATCTGATGCGTGCGGGCATCTAGGTTGATCCTTCAGAAGTATTGGCAGCTCCAAAAATGACACCTTCATGTCGACAATCCCACTCTACAAACACTGACCCTGGGGGGCTAGCTTGACAAAGCCGGAACGATATCCTGCTATGGTTTCTTTGCTGGGGGAGGGATATCCTTTTTGCCTCACACGGCACACCCGAAGCCTAAAAAAAGAGCCGTCTGCTGAAAGATTCGTTCGCCAGGCGGCGCGGTCATCTGCTGCGAATCGACGGCATCCACAGAAGCTCTGGCCTGCGGGGGTGTTGGTCGACAGCATTTACTGGATTTGGTGTCCACCAACATGTTGAGAGCCTTCTCCATTATAGTGTGTCCGAAACATACATGACCCTTAAAAGTCCGTGGGGCACAGGCCGGAAGGTCGCCTGTGACTCCTGGGCATGGTAAGGCTCTGAAGTCAGCTTCAGGCGATCCCTCTGATCACAACACGCTGAGCACTGAGGAGACTTTTAATTGGGATAGCCAAAAGGAAACATGCGTTGGTCAAACAGCTGCGGCACCCACTTAATGGAGGAGGGCCCCTTAACTACTTCTGTACCAAGCATTATTAACTCTGAGGAACCCTTTATCGTGCGGCCCGGGCTCGCTCACTCCTGGGTGAGCTCGTTATAATCCGTGCAGTGCAAGGAGTACTGCTCCGGATTGATCCAAACTTTGGAAGAACACCCAGAACCTTTGGAAGACAAACAGTCCACATATTTGGCCTTGCAAGAGTCCACATATTTGCCCTTGCGAATGTTGGGAACCATTTGGAACTGAGCATTGGCTTTTTTTGATAGCCGACATGACTCCTACATAGGCAGACGATCGGCCACTGAACTTGAGTGGATAATGTCGCTTCGCAAATAGCCCATTGAGCTCGTTACAAGTCCCCTCTTCGTAGCACGGCAGCGAAAATCTCGCAACAAACAAACCAGGACAAAATGACTTATGAAATTGGGGCCCTCCTCGAAAACCGCAAACAAACCCTCAATGACCAGCCATGTCAGTTGCTCATATGAAGCCAGTGACCTTGCTCAAATCCAATGATTGGTTTGGTGAGTTGTTCGCCATTGGCGAAGTGTTGCACCACCTCTCACTCATTTGCCCAAGAAAATGGTGGATTTCTGGTGGATTGACTTTCTTCTGCGGGACCTTTGGTGGCTTCTGCATGTGGTCCAAAAGAATTCCACATGCTTGTTCCACATTGTGCTTCTTGAGTTCCGCCCATCGTTCTCAAGCCCCAGAACCTGCACCCAGAGGAAATCGTGGCCAGTGCCCCTCTTCTGGTCCCAAGAGGAGACCACTCTGTGGGGAGCACCACACGTATTTGTGTGTGTGTGTATGTCTTTGAGGGTAATCCTGTTGGGTGTTAGGAGAAGCTTTAAAGGGAAACCACTGGGAAAGTTCACAATTTGGACACCGACCCATGTTCCAACATAGCCTCGGTCGCCACCCGCCTGCAAGAGCAACTTCACCAACAGCGGGTTGCCAAGCCTCGGAGCAACTACCCCCCGACTACCCCCAAAAACCACCATATAACCCCAAAAACAACAATATAACCCCCAATGAAACACACTATAACGGGTAGTAGCTTGGTCAACTTTTTGATCCCGGAGATGATCAATCTAGACGCGCGAATACATACACCTTTGACCGAGCCGCGCCGCGGCATGGTGCAGCGCTGTCCGGTGCTCCGCCGGCGTCTCCTCGCTCTCCGGCTTTTGAGTGAAGCCCGAGCTCAGTGTGGTGGATGAGCGCAACGTGTGTTTTCTTTCTCAGGGCGTGAAGGCGTGAGGGAATCAGGAAGCCGGTGGTTTTCTCCGGGGTTCCCAAAATCATTCCCAATTCCTGGTGATTACCTGTTGAGAACCGACAAGGGTTGCAACCGCTGCAAATGGTAACTCTGATCCCGTTGTAGGAATCCGTTGCTTGTCCAAAAGCTAAGGGGGTCTGTTGACCATTGGCACATATGAGTCAAATCATTCCCTAGCAAAACACGAGCCCCATCCAAAGTGTTTTGGCAAACTTGGGCGGGCCCGAAGCTTTTAATGGGCTCTCTGGCTTTCCTCCGCCAGTGGGCCCCGTGCGTGTTGATCACGAAATTCTGGTATTTCCACCACCCTGGAATCGGGGGCTCCTGCTGGTTCTTGCTGATGTAGCGAGGATCGCGGTCGATGTCCATGTCTTTGATGGTGACATCGGCCTCGCAAGACACCCAGAACGTGAAAGTGTGCAAGCTTACACTAAGGATGCAGGCTGCTTGGCAAATGGGAAGTAACTTTGGCTTTTACCAACTTTGGGGACTTTACAACAGGAGAGCCCAATTTCCAACACCTCGCAAAGAGGCATGGCGTGTTACCTTTTGAGTCTTTCTTTATGTCATGCCAGCGGTCCCCTGGGTGCTTTAGATTGCTTGGTTGCAAATCGCGTGTGCAACATCTTCGCCTCGTCCTTTGATTGATGGTAAGAGAGCCTTGTTGTGTGATGAACCAAGTTACGCAGTGACCCTGGCGGAAAAAGGCAACCCTTCTTGGGGCTGATCGTTTTTGGTGGGGCACCCACCAAACAACAAGGAAGAAAAGGTGCCACCATGTACCAAGCAGCCGCCTGCCGACAAAACAGCAGAGATTGATCCAGGCACCCAAACAACAAACGCTCCCTCCAGACCTCCCTGTGAACGGTTCCGGGCCAGTGGTCCAGATTCAGCCAAAGGGTGTGCTTCAACGACCCCCACTATAGACATTTGGCCCTGGGGAAAGCAAACCAACAGGAAACCAAACCAATTTGTTGCCCGATGTAATCATCCTTTGGAAGCTTGGAGCAATGCCAAACAGGCCCAGGGAGCCACACGGGTGTCTCGGGGAAGCCAGACAAAACCGAAGCCCATTTTGGGGCGGTCGGAAAACCGTTCAGCGACAAACCCACAAAAGAGCTTGGGGGAAGCAACTTCCCAAAGACGAATTCTTCAGTTCAATGCGGTAAACGATTCAACTCATTTCCGCAACCCTGACCTGGATTGTCAAACTCAGAAGGTCTCCTGTTCGAACCGGGTCCCTTGACACATCCCAGAATCATGTGGTCAAAACTCCCGAAAGGTGGCTACCGTGGCCCTGGCTCCCTTCAAAGCGGAACTTTCAAGGGTTGATCACCATCCCTGCCAACCCCAACTCAGGTTGGGACTTGTTGAGTCTGACCCCATAAAGAACCAGTCAGAGCACTTGAAGAGGCCTGAAAAAGGGCTTGGTGCCCTTCCATCACTTGCAGCACCTCCTTTTGGGGTTGGAAAAATCCAGCCTGCCCCAAGTAGCAAGGTCGTTTGACCATGGCTCATACGCCATCGAATCTCGTGGCCACTTGTCGCGTTCCCCTTGCGTGCCGCCTTGGCATCGAGCAACAGCTGTGTTGTCCTCACGATCCAGGGACACCACAGGCCTTCAACTGGGAACCCAACATCCCCGAACGAGGGCATCGTGTGCAGAAGGTTGTAAATGGGGAGGGGCTTGTCGGACCCCCAGTTATTCATCTTCCATTGCCCGATCGGAACTGCGAAACCCGCAAAATCCCGACGGATCTTCATGGGAACGATGCCGAAGAGGGGTTCTACAAAGACCCGATCTTCGAAAGGGTGCAAAACTGGCCCAAGGAAGAAAGAAGAGAAACCGAAATCAAAAGTCTTGTGGTTTGGCCATTGTTTTGAGGTTCGGAGCACCCCTGGAAAAAAAATCAGCCATACGAGCTGACGCAAAAGCACAGCAGCAACTGCGTCGCTCCGACAGGCGCGCCGCTGGAGTGCAGGACATCCAAGCGAACTCCCACAGCTTCAACACCGAAGGTGTTAAGGGCTCGCAAACACTACGCTTTGCGCCCGGAGAAGTTGGCTCCTTGCACACCATGTCCTTCCCAAATCAAGAGTAGACTGCCAACAAAAACTGCAGAGCCCTCTTCAAGGCTCTTTATCTTGCCATAGGCCCCTTGCCTCATGGTGGGCCCAAGCCCCCGAAACCAATAGGCGCCAGTAAGCGGTTGCTCCCTCAAACAAACCTTACTGAGGCCGAAGGTGTCTTCCTTCTGGGATCCCCCGAGTCTCTGCGTTTTTCCATCATCTGTTGGACCCTTCATCTTTCATCAGCTGAGGCTAAAACCCAACCAAAGGAGATTTGTTTGCGCGAAGCTAATAGTCACCGAATGGCCTTCCTTCACGCGTCATGTTGAATGGCCGGATCAGTGGGACCAGTTGCTGGTCATAGGCGTTTGCACCACCTAGCTTTGGCGGGAAAAGCCACTCCTTTGGGGGAACCCCCAACACATCGCCACCCCCAAACACAATAGGGAAGAATAACTAGTGCTTGGGGGGAAGATGGTAGATCCCAGCAGACCAGTCCTTCTGCCTGTTTTTGGAACATATTGCGATTGCTCAGGAGCAAACAACTTTCAGGGGGCCCTGTACAGTTGCCCCCCCCCCCGCTAATAAGGTGGTATAAATCAAGAAAGGTTCCCAACAATTTCAATGGCTTGACCAGATGTGCCATGGTCAAAACTCCAAAAAAGGAGTCCATATTGTTGTGGTTGGTTAAACAAAACCTATAAACGGACAGGTAAGCGGCACCCTGCATTGTTGGTTTGCATTGATGTTTGGGGAGTTGCACCCCCAAATCAAATCAGGAGCAAGCTTAAAGCGCGTGATGAGACTTCCTTAGTGTCTCTCACCCCTTGGTCCAAAGCCCCTTTCTGTCCTCAGATCGCCTGCAAGCACTGCCACATGCAGCGGAGACCGGCGCCTGGCAGGAAGGCGACCGGAAAAGCTGAAGGATCCATCCCTCTGAGGCTTTCTGTACACTCTGGATGGGTGATGTTCAACAGAAGGTCCCCAATGTGCGGATATCCATTTGGCTGGTTGGTGGCTTCCCCAGAATCAAGCAGTGGCTCTTGGTTAAGGAACCCATCCTGGGTTCATACCATTTATGAGCCGTCCCCTAACATCCTCCACAAAGCAATAGTAGACTACCAAGTACTTTGGTGTCACTCATCTCTCAAATCGACTCTCTTCATGCTGGACCTTGCTGGGTCTTCTTCACAGTGCAATAGAATAATCTTCACGGAGGTCTTCTTCGAATGGGATATGGAGAATCCACTGGGGGTTGTGAAATAGAGGCCTTCGCATTGCAGGCATCGCTCCCCCAACCTGTGTCTATCGTGGAAGCGGACGGCAAAGCGAATCCCAAACAAAACCAACCCCTGAAAAGATCACTTCCCCAACACGGAAGAGTCCTCCAAACTAAAGCACGGTAAAGGCGAGGGGGGCTGCGTAAGGCTTAAGGTTTAACCAACCTGCACTAGGTTTTCTCAACTGAGCGGCCTCACCCGACTCACCTGCTTCGCCCCTTTTCACACGTTCCATGTCCCACATGTCTGGCCAAATGCCCAAAACAAGCCCAACAACTGGATACCTTCAACAAAGAGGCCACGTCCGGTTTCTTCCCAACGAATGGATTTCGTCAACTCACACATCCAAATCTACCAAAAAGCACCCATGTGTGCCTGGTCACATCAAACCGTTACCCTGACAATTTGGCGTCCTCATGGTTTGAATCCCACCATGTCCCCGCAAACAAAATATGTCGGGCACGCGCGTGGTTGGTGGTGTTGACGTCACACCTGCCAAGAAGTCGACTTCTGCTGGAGCTAGCTCAGCCTGCTTTCTCCGAAAGCATATACGCGTTATGCGTGGAAAAAATGCCTAGAAGAAGCTGGCAAGCAGGAGAGCTGGACAGAAAAGCGAATAGAGTATGTGGCCGTGTGTGTGTCAAAATCGCTATGCTTTTTATTCCTTGCTTGCTGGCCGTTTTGCGTTTAACTTTGCAGGGTGGAGAAAGACGGCAAGCGAGCAAGCGAGCAAGCAAGCAAGCAAGCAAGCACGCAGGAAGGAAGGAAGGAAGGAAGGAAGGAAGGAAGGAAGGAAGGAAGGAAGGAAGGAAGGAAGGAAAGAAAGAAAGAAAGAAAGAAAGAAAGAAAGGAAGAAAGGAAGAAAGGAAGAAAGGAAGAAAGGAAGAAAGGAAGAAAGAAAGAAAGAAAGAAAGGAAGGCAAAAAGATAGGAAACAAGTGTCAGAGAGCCTTGCAATTAACCTCTTCTAAACTGCCTTACGCTTCGGAAGTACCTTCACAAAATCTTTGCCACATCCAGCCCCACCAGGGCTGTATTGGCAGAAAGCGCCGCAGCTTGCTCGCTTGACTCCAGCTCGCCTCCATCTGCAGGCTCCTTGACTTGCAATGAAAGGAAATGATCCCAGGAGGCTCCGCCGCTGAATGCCTTGTGGCAAATCAATGCGGAGCCCAGCTCCTCCGCCTGCACGCGCTGTCCGCTGCTCGTGCAGGCAAACTGCACGTAAGCGCCCTGGCCCTTGCTCTGCTGCTTGAGCACAAGGCTTGCCACGACCACACAACGCACTCGAAACGCGCACCATTTTTGCGGTTGCCAAGCTACGCTTCTACCTTGATTGACAAGGCAGCAATGTCCGCGCACGCAGGAGGACTGCTTCGGCCTTGAGCGCGATTGCTCAAAGGCACAGGGGAATTGAGCCAGGCCTAACACCAACACCAGGTCTGGCCCTGGTTTCCAAAGTGTCTTTCACTTCAAATGGCCAAGCTCCGCAGCATCTTGGTGCACAAATCGCGCGCAAGCTCCGGTTGGCCAGAAATCCGACAAAATGCGCTGTGCAAAAACAGGACCACAGCGACGGCGCGTTATAAAGGTCACGGGAAGAAGAAAAAAACAAGGACCCAGCGCCGGGACCAGCAACGGGGTCAGCGACGCGGCAGGGACGGGCCGCGATGGGGCCGGCTCAAGAAGGACATGGGCCAACGACGGGCCAAAAACACAGCAACGGGAACGACAGGGCGACGGGGCCAGCGACGGCGTGCCAGCCAACTATGAAGGACAGGACCTGCAGTCACGGGCGAGGACGAAAACAGAAACATTAAAGGACAAATTGGGCTAGCGACGGGGCCGTCGCTGACTGGGAAAGGAGAAAAGGACAAAAGGAAAGAAGGAAAGAAGGAAGGAAGGCAGGAAAAGGAAAGGGAAAAGGAAAAGGAAAAGGAAGAGCACAAAAAAATGCGAGAGCTCTAGAGAACGGCAGACAGAACTCAAACAAACTCTGTGAATCCTGCGTGCCGCGTGGGTTCACGTAGAACGCGCCAGAGCGCGAAGAAAGGCTGGTGTGTTGTCACAATCACCACCGTTGGTCGTGCTGCATCGGCATCTGGTGCATGATCGCCTGATCATCAGCATGGGATTTGCCATCCGTGCGTGCTGGGTGCATGCGCAGTGCGTAACCCTTGCACTCGTGTCGTACTTGTTGCGTGAAGCTGATCCAGGCCCAGGTAATGCTGAGGATGTTGTTCCCTCTGACCGAGGGCACCCTTTTTGGGCACAAACCAAAAGGAAACCAGAAAGGTCGCCCAAAACGGGCAAAATGGACACCAAAGAGGGAAATCAAAGAGGGAAAGCAAAAGTGGAAGGCAACAAATGGAAACCGAAAAAGGAAACCAAAACGGGAAAGAAGTAATCCAAAAAAGGGCGGCCAAAAAGGAAACCCAAAATTGGGAAACGAAAACGGGAAAGAGGGAAGCCAAAAGGGCGAAGACGGAAGCCATGTAAATTCAGCATAGCAACGGGATAAAGGAAAACACGCAGAAACCAAACCCGGTTCACAGTGTCGAGTCTAGAGAATACCCAGATCAACATTGATAGCCTTCTCTTGATGTAATTTGCCCTATGCCACAAGCCAATATGCTAAGAAAAATGGCATCTTGCCTTCCAAGAAAGGTGGCAAGGCAGAATCCTTCCAGAAAGTATATCTAGTGTGCCAAGCTTTGCGGGCGCCCTTTTTCGGGGTTGTGTGCTCAAAGAAAATCGAAGAGAAAACATTGATTTGGGAGCTTCCGCATGTCAATACAGACCCAAATATGAATTGCTTTGTTTGGCAACACACGGTGAACCTCTTACCACATCTGGCCACCGAAATGGCACCTAGCACTGTTGCCCTCGTCTACTCTCAGCGCAAGTGGTTAGCAACCTTAGATGCAGATAACCTGCTTGCTACGGTGCGTACAAAACCAACTGGAGGTGTCCTAAAATGGCTAAACAAAAGGTGGGTCCCAAGCCCAAAGCCCTAGTCAAAAACAACTGAGCTTTCTCCCTAAGTATTGAGGAAATCACCCTCCCCAAACAAACGCATTGAGCTGGTTGAAGGAAACGCAACCCTGAAACTTAGTAGAAGAACAAAAAAGCTGTTGAGACCCACCCTTCCCATTGTTGAGGGATTGCGAAAAAACGAGGCCCGAAAAAGTTCGATCCGGTCGGTTCGCTTTGGACAACTGAGCTTTCTCCCTTGCAATTCAGGGCATCAGCCTCCTCCCCCCGTAACAACAGGAAAGGCGCCCAACGCTGAATCACGCCCCTCCACCCGCCTCCCCAATTTCTGGGGTGGGGTCCCGTCCAAAAAAAACCAAGGCATCCAACTTGTCCGTCCATCGATTCGGCCTGGCTTCCAGCAGAACCTTCAAGCCCTCGGGCCACGCCCGCGCGGCGAAGAGCGCTGACCTCTGCACGACAAGCCCCAGGCTCCGCGCGGGTCCGCGAGGGAAAATGGCCGGGGGGGGGGGGGCGTGCCCAAACATCGGGGCGTGGAAAAACTGATAGACACACTCCACTTCGCACCAGCCGAGGGATGGATGAAACGGGGGTCTCAAACGCAGGGTTGCTGTGCAAAGGGACTTTGGGAGGGAGAGAAATTCACCAAAGGAGTGAAGTTGGCACATGTTCGCTCTCAAAATTTGGTTGGCCTCCCAAGTGGGTGCCTCGCTTTGCTGGGCTTACAAGTTTTAGATGTTGGATTCCAAGTACCACTTTGCGGAAGCAGCTGTACATGCTTCCAATAAAGTAGTCTGCTCTGTCTGCTCTTAGAGGTTTGCGTAGTCTTCAGCCAGAGAAACAGCTCGAGATCAAAACGCGTGAGTTGCGAGTTCAAATGATCTAATTGCAGCTCTCGGTTTGACACATGTGGGGGGGCGTCCTGGATCAGAGGGCCGCTAACATTGGACGCTGCCCTGTGATAGATGCAGTACGCTTGATTTGTCTACCTGGACAGCGCATCTCGCGGTTGGCTTTCTTGCTTTCAGCGATTCACGCCCTAAGTTGAAGCCCTTCTTCCTTTTGAACTCCCTCCCTCCTGCCCAGCAAAAAAAAAGTAGCCCCAAAGAAAGACACCGATTTTGGGCCGCATCAACCCAGCTGCCAAGGCTGCGGCTCGCCCCTGGGATTCTGGGTCTCCTCTCAGGTCGGTCCCCGTCGACGGGGACGCAAGAGTCATGAAAGGCCGGATGGTAGTTGTCCGACATAATACAAGTAGGGAGCCCCCTGATTTGCCACAATCCACTATTGGGGCTGAGTGTGGTTGGCTCACTTGCAATCCAAAAGGAACATAGTCTTCCAGAAAGGGTCTGTGCATCTCTATGTTGGTGGGAGTATCAGAAAAAGGATCTTGATCATCCTTTTACCATCTACCCTCAGAGCAAGATCCCTTGGCCAGCCTTCACCATTCCATCCTTCCCCTTCTCTGACATGGAAGGTAAGCAAAGAGGCTTCCCTGTGTGGTTCCCGTTCGAAAACCATTCAAATACAAAGGAACCGCGGACTTAAAGCTAAAGTGTCCAAGAATTCCGAAACTTGGTCTAGTTTTTGTAAACAAGGTGGCTCGCGTTCCCGGAGGAAGACAATCAATTCGACCCATTCTCCCATTCGCATCTTTGGTAAATGGGGTAGAATGCGCTTGAGGCCAAAGCATGGCAAGGGCCAGCTCTTTTCAATCAACACTCGCACCCCCGATGTTGTTCAACAAACAAAGGCAATTCTGAAAGGCCACTGGCATGAGCCGTTCCCCTTAAACACCATCCCAAAAAGGGTCAAAAGGACAAGATGCCCGAGGGTAGCTTCACGACGGTCCAGTGTGAGGTCCACCGCCCCGGAGGTGATTTGCCTCAAGGAACGATCTGCAAAAACCGGTCGGCTTCAAATATCAGTTGGGGTGACATATTATATGTAGAGAGAGAGAGAGGTGTCAGGGGGCGAACATATCACTGACAGTTTCACTCCCATCATGACCTTGGGTTTTCATTTATCTCGCACGCCTCTTCCCGATTGCTTGGGCAGAGGTCCCAAGCGCCTGGCGCTGAACCCAGGAAGTTCGGAAGACATGTTTGCGATATTTCACACACCTGAAATTCCGAGTCAGGGGAATCCATGGGTGAGCTCGCAGCCCCGCCGCCGCCCCCCCCCCGTCCCGCCCGTCAGTGAGGTCGCCACAATTCCGGACACGTAGTTTTGACGAGACCCAAGGTCACAAGCCAAAATTCATCATGTGTGGTTGCGATTTCTTTTGCCCGTTAGAGTCTAAGCCACAACCAATTGGCATTGAAAGCAAACTATCGCTGCCACCTGGGAGTCTGCCCAAGCTCTTCTGACAAGTCCAAGTCACAAACTGGGATCCCAAGGGTATGACTTGCCAAATGACGAGCCGACAAAGGCAAACCTTCAACAGGCTGAATCTGTTGGAGCACTTTAAAAAGGGGCCTGGAGAGGGGGTTGATGCCCATTGACTCCTTGGGTTGCAACCCTTTTTGGACCAAAATCCATGTGAAATAATATTTTGAAAACCGCCCCCCCCAACCCTTGTTGATGCCAATGGAAGGAGAAGACTACAATCCAATGAGGATTCCCCTTGATTCAGGAAGGGAATCCCTGACACTGCAGGCTGTGTAAAGTGACAAACCCGGCCCGGAATAATGACGACACCTGCAAATGCATTCATTCTGAGACCCCATATCCACGCAAATGGAACCAAAGGGATAACTTATAACTACAAGAGGCTAAAGAATTCGACTGGAAGTATGGGCCACCTGAAGAACCGAATTCAGTGCTCCCAACGACCAGCGCTCGCATGGGCCTCCCGGCTCCAGCGCCTCACTCAGCGCCTTGAGCTGCCGCAGCTCCACGGCCTTTCGAAGGCGCGGTTTGGTCGCCTTGGCCTTGGCCCCCGTCAGCTGATCTTCGCTTCGCTTTGCTCGGGTTTGGTTTGCTTTGGTTTGCTTCGGTTGGTTGTGGTTTGGTCGTGTTGCCCTTGGGTGTTGTTTGCTTGGTTCTCTGGAAACGGCCCAGGTTCATCAGAAGAAAGGAGGGTCGAGAACTGGGTCTGACCCTTTTGCGGGTCACCTTGAGAAAGAACGCGGCGGAACGTCACCTATGTCCAACGGAATCTATTTGGCTGAGTATAGGGTTGGAGCCCCCCAAACGCGTGGATGTCCTTTCGTTTGCCCTGTAAAAACAAGTTCAAAAGGGTGCCTTCAAAAAAGGAATGACGCCCGCCTTCCACATGGCGCCGACATTCGCAATGGGTTGCTTGGGGGAATTGTCACGCCACAAATTGGACTCGGAACCCTCAACATGCGGCTTGTTTGTGTCCATCCGGGGAGCCTTTAAAGGTTGTTCCAAAAGGCGTTCCAAGGAGAACCGCCCATTTTGGGAGATCGAACCGTAATCGAACCTATTCAAAGACAAATCCCTGTTGGAAAAAACTATCCATTCAATTTATCTCGAAACCCCTCTCCATTTGTCGCGAAGCCGAAGAAAGCTGTATTTCACATGGCGGGTGGTTTGAACATCACCTTGTGATGTTCTTTCAAAGCGGACATATAAGAAATATCTGCTCAAGGGGAGTGACAGCACAAAAGCGGGCAAATCCCGGCTGCCCATTTTCACGCGAAACGGATAGGAAGTCCTTCCTCGAAACGATAGTCTGCTCCTTCCCAGATTAACATGGAACCCCGAGATCCATCATTTTTAGAGGAATCTCCTTTTTGGGGACCGAGTTTTGGAGATTCCATGTTGATTTGCAACGGGGTAAAGGGAAGCTGGCCCGAAAAGTGATTTGCTGGATTCCGACAGAAGGGTTCTGTATACTTTTAACTACCAAGGTTTAATAACAAACGTGCCCTTTGATCACACCATCTAATGTAGCCGTACGTAGATGAACAACCAAACATTAAAACATTTCCTCTTATGAGGGAACTCAGGAGTTTCCCTTTGAGTTCCCTTTGAAAAAGGTACCAACTCCAAAAAGGAGCCCCGCCATGTGCGATAAACAATTGGCCAGACCTTCCGCAGCTCAGCTGGACACTTATGAAAACCTGAAGGGAAAAAGGTCAAAAGGCTTGTGAAGTCTGGCAATGTGCCCCACCAGGACACTCAAAAGCTCCTATCAGCTTCTCAACCCTAGGCCCACAGCTCAGGCCTTGTGCAGCAGTAGCGGTGCAGCGCCCAGGGCCACACGCACCACCTGGCAACCATTTTGGCGAACGCCCAACTGACATTGGTGTTCTCGTGCAGCTTCTTTGGGGAGTGTGTCCAAGGTCATCTCCCCAACTATAGTAAATAATGATACATATCAACTGTTCATGTCCTGGCCGGTCCTTGGCTTCTTGCACCACCCAAAATCCCATGGCCATCGTCAAAACTCCAAAGGGAGAGTGCTTGTCTGCCAAAAACATGGAACCTAAATGGGGCCCTCTTGAAAGACAATTTCCCTCCGACTCCATGTTGTACTTGGCAAGGTAGGTGTCCCATCTTTGGCAACAGTTCTTAAGGAGGTCGGGTAGTGAACCTAAGTCCAGTTTGAGCCCAGCTGATCCCGTAGTGCCCAAGGAATGCGAACTTGGTTCCCAGCCAGTCCACAGTCTAACTTCGCAAGGCTCGAGCCATGGGTTGCAGCCCTTTGCCGGCCTGTCTCGGAACTCGGTGATCGGGCAAGTCGATGTGAGCTGATCATGTAGATGTCTATGAGGCACTTGGAGCCACAACCGAGGAACACCGCCATAGGTGTGCTGGAGCAAGTCAAGAGCTCAGATGTGGATCCGCGGCACAATTCTCCAAGTGCTGAGTCTGCCATGTAGAACTCCTCAGACAAGATACTAGATGTCTTGCCATCTCAACGGCTCATTTGAAGCAGCGAATATTTCAAACTCTGACTATTCAATACCATCGGGAGGAAAGGGACCTTTGTCATGGATGAGCTCGTTTTCCCCTACTCGTTGAGCTCGTTATGATTTGTGCGGTCATTGTTTTGAAAATTTGGAAAGCGCGCACTGTCCGAAATGATTGCATACGCCCCTGCATACCCCTCCCCCGAAGGCTTGCTGCTTTTGATTCATACCCCACTCCCAAGAAGGGTTGCTGTTTTAGCGGGCTTGGTTGCAAAATACCACCAGACCCTAGTAAAACCCTTTGTTTAGAGGGGACCAGAAGGAGGTTGTTTGGGGTTCCCAGTTCCCAGTCTAACCGCTTACGTTCCGAGACGGCCTCGTCTGTGGCCATGTCCATGGGCAGTTCCCCCTCGAAGTCCCCTCGCCGTGGATCCTGAGCCGCGTGTCCCGCAACAAAAAATGTGAAGTCCAACTGAGCCCCCCAAGCCAACCCAAGACTCCCCAAACCCAAACCAAGCCAAGACTGCAAAAACTGGCCCAAATGACACCAAGAAACACAACACATCGTCCTGCGCTGCGTGTTCCCACAAAATCGAGGCCCCTCTGGCTGACCCTCTTTCCCTTTTACAGCCAACCACAAAGCGCGTTCCATATTCCGAGAAATAGCACCTTTTCAATGTGAGATGAACCACCTTAGGCCCATGAAGGAAAGCAAAAGAGACCAACAAGAAAAGAGACCTTTGGTGTGGTAACCTTAAAGAAAGATTGAAAGGAAGCCAACTGTTTTGCGGGTCGCATGAGACACCCACTGGAAAACCCAGGAGGTAGCTTCCGTGTTGAAAAAAATGGAATGCAGGCCTCGGGGGTTGCACCAAAATAGGGGTTGCCCTCTTTCCAACAATCAAGGCTGAGTGTAAGAAGCGAGCGGGAAGATCACTTTCATATCAGTCAACTCCTGCGTCCACTCCCATGATTCTTCTGGGCAAAATACAATACTTCACAAACCTGAAACAAGACATCGGCAGGTAAGGGGGCTTTCATCACAGGTGAGCTCGCGCTACCCTCAGGCGAGCTCGCTATAACAGGTTCAGATTGTTGGAAAGCGCTCAAATAAATAGGCATCATGCTGTTTGTTCCCTTTATGTGGGTTTAAGGCCCCACATAATAGAATGCGGTGGACTAGCAAGCCAAATCGCCTCACGATCCTGAGAAATAACTGTTATGTATGTCGCCCCTTGCCCCCCTCTCTCTCGAAATACTGAAAACACCCCCAAACTGCAAGGTTTCCTTGTCACGGAACAAACCAACCAAAAAAAGCTGCCGAGCCTCAAACCAGGTGCGACGGGGCCCAACCCTCGCGGCCTCTCCGGCCTCGGCTTGGCCTCCCCGCGCCCTTGGCCTGTATCATCAGCCGCGCGCAGAAGCTCCGCTTCTCGGCCACCCCCTCCGCCGGAAAGCACGGCGCCGGGGCCCCGTGGCGAACATCGTCAATCCCCAAAAGCGGGGAGAAGCACAACCCATTCTCGAGGCAATGGAGGAGCCACCCGCAACTCATCCGCCGGGTTGATCAATCCAGCAGAAAGAAATATGACTTTCTCGGAGGAATTGCCGATGAAGCTGACGACGTCAGGGGTGGAAGTGTTCAAAACAGTGAACTTCATGCAGTGTGAGAGCCCGTCCTGCGAAATGACGCGGAAGGCTGGCCACGAGCTAGCTAGCTAGTTGCAGTGCGCCACTTAGTCAGCTAGCTAGCCAGCAGCTAGTCAGCTGCACGATCAAAAACAAGTTGTCTGCTCATATAACTGTTTGGCTACTTTGGTAGCTAAGCGCACACGTGTTGTTCCCGAAATGGACATGGAACACTTTTCTGTACCCCCTAGTTTGTGTGAGAAATTTAGCGAGTCTCCCTCAACTTCCTCCCAAATTGGATATGTTGACCGACGCTCATACAGTCTGGATTTATCTCCAAATGAGCGAAACGGTCCCAGTAGATAGTTTCCTTTTGGTTTCCCGCCCTCAAGATGCCACACCCGTAATGCTTGCATTCACCAAATGCTACTGTTTTCTGGGGTGGGAAATCATATTCCTGAGATGTTCCAGTGCTTCTTGGTTGATTTTGGTGTGTTCAAAGGTGCAAACGGCGCAGCCACAAAGCCAGGCAACGGGATTGCGAACATGCCCCCGTGTGAGGGTCCTCCAATAATCCAACCATTAAACCCGCCTTCTGTGGCCATAGGGGTGGGCCTTTCTTTTGGGGGAGGGGGGCAGCTGTCTCGCTTTTGGCTGCTCCAAGCAGCTTGGAGGGGCCGCGTGCCTCTCCCTAATCGCCGCTTTCCCTGGGGCTCCCCGCGCGGCCCAGCGCGGCGGCGTGCAAGGGAGTGGAGCCCCGGAGCCTCAGGCGCCCATGCGCCGAGAGTTGAGGGCTCCATCGAGACATATATGTTGTGCAAAAAAAACACAGCAAGTGCTTATAGAAAGAGCGGGTTTTGTCCACTATTTGTTTGATAGAAACAAAACAGTGGCTTCTGTCCAGGATGTTGATAGAAACAAAACACAGTAAATGATTTGGCAGAAGTGCCCTCTTTCCGCCAATCATACCCCTTTCCAACAATCACGGAAGTGGACGAGCAGGGTTTTGGAAGACGACCATCCCCTTGAAAAGGTTCGTAAAGTGCACCCATGTATGAACTCTGGTCTGAACCCAATTTATTGGTGAATTCACCTTTTGTTTGCTCTGTCTGATGCGCTTTGATCGCCTTGCCACACCGCTGGAGGTGGAGTGGTGGATATTACATGAAAAAAGACGCTTCTCCGAATCGCTATGCGACGCAGGTCAATAGATCATGTGGCACATGCTGATTCTGGATGGATTATTGGACGGCCCCCCAACCAGGTTTGTTGGTCCGACCCCTTTCTGACAACCTACTCCAGCCACAACCACACAGAGGACGGCTGACATGAGAAGCACGAGCAGAACGCCGGCGTGTGATGAAGGCAGGCCTCCCGCGGACTCGAGTCCATGGCCCGGCCTGTTCGGAGTGTTTGGATCCGCCCGTGCCTCCAGGAGCACCTGGCGATTTATTCAAAGGCACAGCCAGACGCCCTGGTGGATTTGCCTCTTCAATCTAAACGAACGACTACACTCCTCACTAACATGGAACCTGACTGAAGGTCCTGGAACACTACTGTCCTTGGAAAGGGACACTTTGGTGGGTTCCATGTTTGTGGACAGGAGGGTAACATGGAAAGCCGAAACACACCTCTAAATACTTCAGATCGGCTGCTTAGGTAGTGGTCAGAAGTGCTCCAATGGTTAACCAGGGCCGCTAGCCACTTTCTAGTTTGCCAATCATCTCCTCAAATAAGGAATCTGCTTTTCTAGGATCGGGGTTCCCCGTGCTAATCTTCAGAGACATCAAACTAATGTGTTTGTCTATATGCATAATCATGGGTCCCCCATTTCCGCCATGGTCACAAGAACTCCTTGCTTGGGGGTCGAGGACTGCAAGCAAGGGAATCATGACCACTGGAGCTTCGACCACGACGTAGGTGTCTCAAAACGAAAGTTGCCTGCTGTGAATAGATGTCTCCACCCTCGTATGTTTCTAGCCAAAGGTGGGGGATATGGGGCAAAGGACTCGCTTGCACTGGGGATCCTTGCCCCAAGCCCATCATGCGCTCCCTTTGGTTTGAAGAAGTTCTAAGTGCGGCGTCACTGTTATTTTGCCTGACCGGCTCGTTGTTGAGCATGTTCAGTGTCGAGCTGTCTACTTTTTTGGCTATCGACACGAGGCTTCTTGTCATGCAAGCCACGTGTGATTGTGCAGTACAAGTTCCCAAGTCACGCCGAGCGTTGGTTTCATGTGGGGCTTCCCTTGCTTTCGTCCTTGACAAGAATGCAACCAATCTTGGTATACCACTAAAGGCCTTCCCGTAATTCTTCATTAAGAGGGGCAACGGTTCCATGGTAAACGTCCAACCTCATTCCCACAACCATGATGTCTGCCTTCTTCTGAGCGCACCCTTCTTGGGGATAGCTTTCATGATAATGAGACATCAAAGGCAAACTAAAGAACGCTCTTGATACACTGATTCAGAGCTAGATCATAGCAAGGGGAGCCATAGTAACCTAATCGCGACTGCAAGTGACGAGTTTACGCCATTTACAGCCATCACCGTCGCTCGGCTCCCCTTGGTACGGCCTTAAATCAGTATTCAAATGGGAACCCAAAAAATGAAACCTTGCAGAGTCTTCACAGAGAACCCAAGAGAACCAAGCCACAACAAAATGGCAACTAAAATGGACACCAAACCCGAGAAAACCAAACCAAGAATAAAACTGCGACCAAAGGGAAGCAATCAAAAAAAAAAAAAACAAGCGGGCCAGGAACCCAGGATCCGCCTTGGCTGCCTCGATGCTGCCCCACATAGCAGCGATGTGCAAAGGGGTCTGCCCCACCCTGCGAAAACCGAGCCGAGCCACGAACCCATGGACATCAGGTGTGTGTTTAGGGAGTTGGTACCTTTTCTACTTGGTTTGTGGGAAAAGCAAAGGAAAACCACCATTTTTGGAGGTCCGCTATTTTGGGAATTCTTGTAAGGCAACCC